CCGCTCGGCGCCTTGGCATTCGCGTAGTGGATAGTGACTATGCCAAAGCGCCCGAGCACCCCTTCCCGGCGTGCTGGCAGGATGCAGCAGACGTGGTCAGGTGGACGCTCGGGCAGCCGTGGTGCTCGGGCAGCGTCGCGCTGAACGGCTGGTCTGCCGACGAAGTCTCATGATTGGCTTCTTTGCGCAGAATATTGCAAAGAAGTACGGCCGCAGCCAGCAGGAGACCGACGCGGTCAAGGGCGGGGTGGCGTGCTATTCCGCGACCGTTTTCGATCCTGAAGCGCACCGTGGGAAAGAATACCAAAAATGCTGTATGGCTACGAGAAAATGGGTATCCTAGTGTTGCATTCCCCAAGCAGATGATGATGGGTGAGTGGAAACATGCTTCAAATGTACTCCCTGCCCTGACCCTCTTCCACTTTGGTCTGTAGACCTCTTCTACAGCTGCTATCTATACAGCTCGGACATGTCCACTGTGCAGAAGCTGCCAGAGCTCGCCTCTCTCTCTCTCGCTCAGCCATCGCCGCCATCTCTGTGGAGGAAGCCGCTGACGATAGCCACAGCCGAGTATGACGCGTACGGGGAGGAAGGCGACAGCTTTAGGCCGATGAGCACCCGAAGATCGAACACTACGTGGCCAAGGAGGTCAGCCATGAATGACCACCATCATCACGCCCAACGAGGAGGAATGGAACGAAAACACAAAGGAAGTGTAGCTAGCAAGGATGCGTTTGCGCTGACGGAGAAGTCGATCAAGAATGCTTTGTCACTTTAATAATTCGGCTATTGCTGCTCCGATTTGACTTTCATGAGGCGACTGTGCTCAAGAATTGATGAGGGCGCCGCCTGGGACACGACCTTCGTGAAACTGTGCTGTGGTAGTGAAGCTGAGATGTTATCAGAGGTCTCTCGTCTGACGTTGAGATCATCTGCAAGGCAGGCGGGACCAGTCTGTCTTCCGATCGTGCAATGAGAAGCATACTGCATCGCCGTCTAGGTAAACTCTGAGTTGCAGCAACGCGTGCTGAGCGCCTGATGGATGGAATCCGTGCTCAAGGTGCGAAGGACTCTGGACTCTGGATACATACTTAGTCTTCGAAGTGTGTGTCAACGTGCCGAAATGGTCACGATTCTCGAGGTCGGTGATAATGATGGGCTATGGAAGCATTCCGCACGCGAAACACTAAAACAGACTGGTCAATATACAGAAATATGGCTCTGTCCGCTTTATGCAGCTGTAGTGGAGCAATG